CATGTTTATTTACTTCTTGGTAAGTTGTCATAAGAGCGGTACTTTTGGCGAATAATTGACGCATGACATTATTTCAGTTGTTAGTTTTCATGCGGTTATTATTTTATTGTTCTCGAGGAGGAGGAGAAGAATGAACTGACGCTGATTATGAAAGACTTGTCAACGATATTTCGTTTGCCAGTTGTGTGCTGTTGAGGTTAGTTGCCTGTTACAGTTGTATTACGTAAGAGAACAGTTATAATTTGGAGCGCATATTGTTTTAATCGGAAAGAATTGCATGAAAGAAAATAGTGTTTTCGTCAAGGGAGAAAAAGCTGTTTGCAATCAAATCAATCATTTGTCAATCAAGTCAATCTTTAAATCAAAAATTCAGCTTTTTCCCCCTTGTGTTTTCTACAATTCTCTTTTTAAATATGACCATTTTAAGACTAATTTTTAGTAGAACATCACATATAGTCGACATTTCCTTATATCGTTCATCGAAATACAACATTTATCAGTTTATTGATGGATAAAAACAAAATTTCCTTTGTAACGAAGGAAAATAATCACAAAACTCTTTGTCTTCTGGCGACATGTTGAACAGAAAAAGTTCTTTTATGTTCTTACAATTGTTTCGTGTTTCTTCTCTTGTAAAATTTTTAGTGACAATTTTTAAATCATTGTATGTTGCCCTTAAACTGATTAGACATGGTACAGATGTTTTCGTTTCATTTAAAAATTCTTCAATATTGTTAATATTTGCCTCTCCGGCGACACTAAGCGTAGTAAGATGAGGATATTTAGCAATTGAACATGATTGACTATCATTAAATAAAAATGAATTCATATCAGACGACGATTGTAATATAGGATTTATAACAGAAAGTCTATGCAGTAATGGAAAAGATCGAGAAACCCGAAGAAAGAATTCATGATTGAATAGAACAATATCTTGTACCACTAAGTGTGTAACATATTTGAATATAATATCTGGAAATTTATTTCCAACATCTCAAATCCGTTGAAATGTAAAAGGAAGTGAGAAGATAGAATATACAGCTTGATTAATATTGATATAATTTATCATATTAACCATATATTGTTGATGTTTAATATTTACAGTAATTTGTTGAATATCATGTCTAGGTACATAATGAAATAAATCATCAGCACGATCATAATAAGTACTAATACAAAAAAATAAATGAATGAAGATGTGGCATATAACGAAGAATTTCATTTTCAAGATGAGAATTATCAATAAATTTATCACGCTTTGATATACAAAGATATATAGTTAATTTTTCGAGACATGTCATATGATGAAGAAGTGGTAAAATGTGTTCATCATATATATCAAGTCGACGATAACATATCAATGAAAAACATTTCAAATTAGATAAATTATCCTATGTAATAAACAAAAGAATATATCTAAATGTAAAAGTTTATAGAATTAGTAGTCAACTTCATATGATTGTTGACTGTCTTTCTTAAAACTTACCGTAATGGAAATGACTGATGGTAGTTTTGTTTTTCGAGATATTCGAACAATAAGTATAGTTAATTGTTTGAATCGACCATCAAGTAAATAAAGAAAGTCATCAAATGTGTACACATTTATAGATAAATAAGTAAGATTTGCAGAGAAAAAACTAATTGATGGTGAATCACACAGTAATAAAGATGGATGAGATCGATGATGTGCGTCAATAAAACTCAAATGTTTTAAATTTCTAAAGAACTTCAAAATATGTTCATATACATTTTCATTATAGGTTCTCAATGATTCTATCTTAGGTCGTTCGTCACTATTTACGAGAGTAAGATGTGTAAGTTTTTCTTGAAAAATATATCGAAGAGATGATTCATCTAAATATGAAATAATAAAATGCTCTATTTAACATCATTTTATGTTATGATTCCTTACTTGTAAAGTATTTTAAGCAAATTTCTTCTGTGAAATTAAAAAGCTTAAGTTCAGTTAGATTTGGATAATCAGCAGTAAGAAGAATACATTCCATTGAAAGTGGTTCAAGAATAAAATATTTTACATTTTCATGAATTTTTGGTAATATAATCTTGCAAAATCGATCAAGTTTCTCTTGATCAATTACAGAATCATTATCGATTGAGGCGAAATTGAGAGTATGACTGTAGGTTTTTTCTTGTGCTAAACTGTTCAAATGGTCATTATTAACATCGATTAATGAATAAAGAACATCAATATTGTTCAGCTTTTTCAAAATAAGAAGTAATATTTCGTCAGGTAAATCCAATAGATTAATATTCAATCGATTCATATTTTATTCTGACTATCATACTTATGAAAAATAAACGTATACATATATACATTCTTTTTTTATAACAACTTTCGTCATTGTAGAATAAAATAGACGAACTCGTCGAAACAATGAAAGATCAATGATGTTGTCCAATCGAAACATCGTCAGTCTCTGACGTGACCTCACAAATATACAGAATAGTTTATATTCAGACAAAAGACCAATGGGATCAATAAAACAACCATTCCCTAATCGAGATTCCGTAGAAGAATCTTCTGAGGAATTTCTGGAGGAGTTAAGAAGGGATTTGGTGATTTCTTTGGTGAGAGTCAACAAGAGTATATGTCCCATACTGATCTACACAGATGGTGACTAAGTTCATTTGACTATTCAATCACAAAGAAAACCTTCCATAGATCAGCAACTACCAATTATATAGATAGTTGAAAACTGTAGGAATCCTTGATGCAAAGTGTCTCTACAAATGCAGACAGTTTCATACCAAATAATCATTTCTTTTCTTACTAAAACAAGTTTTGTCGGAAAAAATGGATATATCTCAGTAATTTGGAGTTTGAATAAAATTTTAAACATAGGATTTCATAGTGATGAAGTTGCTCTGCAAAACTTTTACTAGACTAATGAAAATATTTAAAAAAATTATAAGCAGATGCATTAGCGAAAGACGAAGAAGAATATGTATTTGTAATTGATTTTTATGCATATTATATCTTGAAATAGTGAGGATAACAAAATTTCATAATTTTTTTTTTAAATAAATTTTACCGATTTCCGTATTAACTTTGGAATTCTACAGCTTCTTGAGAACAGGTTCTTTCAATCTGGTTTTTAAAAGCATAACTATAAGTCATCTAGCTCTACAAGGTGAAATTCCATGGAGAAAGCCATTTATATATGGGTACGTGTGAATTGCAATATTTCAGTTTGAAGTTTTATCATAGTAAGATGCATCGAAAACACCTCTTTCACGATATCTATGGTTTATCGCGAAATGAATTGATTTTCACAAACTTATCGTCTAAAACTTGGTTGCTAATACTATAATTTTCGAGAAATTTTCAGTACTTTTTACAAATTCTTCAGTTTTTTTAAGCAGCTTTCTCTTTGCACCAGCATGTCGTAAATTTTTTTTAATATTAATCTAATTGATCCAATTTTACTAATTATTCATTTATTCATCATTCATTACTACAACCACTGGATAGAAAAGCTAAGAGTGAAGAATATTGAAATTTATTTTCATTCTTCTAATTTCAAGTTTCAAAACCACGTAGAAAATAATAGTAGTTATTCGCATTTATACTCATTATTAGTAAACCAATTATATACAATCTCATGCTTGCAATATTTTTCATTTATAAGTAATGAGAATAATCAACATCTGCGTGGCTCACTAAATGAAACAGTATATAATACAATCAGCAAAATATAAAGAAGGTAAGTACTGATTCGTATTTTGTATGCTTAAAAGATTTCTTTTTCTAAATGATTTGAAACATACTAACATTGGATAGTTCGTTTATTTGATTATTTTTTCAGTCTATCGGGAATCTAGGGCGTTGGTGTGGGTGTCAGTGAATGACAGAACTACTACCACCAACCAGATCCATTCCCCCTCCTCTCATTCTTACCTACATTCACTTACGCGACATATGTAAGCAATGGCAACATTGAAACGCATTAGGTATCAGTGAATATGGTTGCATTCATATGAAAATTATTAAGTAAAGTTCAAGTGCTTTTTTTGGTACCCAGAAAAATGTAAATATTGATTATTAAGGTAAAGCTCTGATTTATACAGAAAAATCGTACTATAGTGCTCTTTATTTGTATACAATATCGCATGGTATGAAAAAATAGTTTCAGCCTCGAAAGGGGTGTGGGTGTGGGTGTGGGGTGTGGGTGTGGGGTGTAGGTGTGGGGTGTGGCTGCGGGTGTGGGGCGTGGGTGTAGGTGTGTTTGTTATTAGAGTTGACTTATGCTCATATCAACACCCACACCCACACCCAAACCCACACCCGCACCCCACACCCACCCCCCCACCCCCACCCCCACCCACCCACCCCCCCCACACCCACCCCCCACACACCCACACCCTCGTATAGAAAAGAAGTTGAACTTGAAAAGATTTAAAAAATCGATTTATTAAAATAAAAATATTTTATCTTAGTTATAAAAAAAGCAATGATAATGTCGAAAGTCCACTATTCTCTTTCGTTCTATGGAATATTTATTTAAATGAATTGCTCGGATAAAACATTTCTTGTCGTTGCCAACCAGGTCCACTAGCACGACGATAGACGGCACCTTCAGGATATGATGCATATTGTTCTTGATTTCCATTGCGTTCATAACTTGTTTTATTATTTCCTCCTCTATCTGGATGATGGCTTTGCCATTGATATTGTGCAGATGAATAATTATTATCATTATCAGTAAACATGTGATTAGGATTTGGTGAACTATAATTCATGCTGTAGGTATTATAATTCACATTGTTCGGAAAAGGAACAAAATTTGGAAATGGAGGAAACAAAGAAAATGCCGGAAAACCTTGAGACATAAATTGTCCTTGTTGTTGTTGTTGTTGTTGTTGCCATATACTAAGTAAGTATTAACTTATCATTAATACAAAAAGAGAAAGCTATTATTTTATGTTAATAATACTAACTAGGGACCATTGTGTTGAAATTGAAAAAATCCTTGATTTAGCGGTTGTTGTGGCATTTTGTTTCTTTGTTTTTCATAAGGTTGCATTTATAACCGGTGAGAATACAATAGGCAGCTGAAATAAATATAGAGATGAAGGTTTACTTTTTCATCCATTAAAGTTTGAATAGCATGTAATCATCACTATAGTTACTGACTCACTGTCATCACTATTCAAGTTTTTAACAAACAGAGAGAAAAAAAAAGCAGCCAAAATCAACTTTTCGATTTTTTCCAGTGATGATGAAAATTCTAGTATACATGTCCAAATTAACAATAAAATCATATGAATAAAAAATATCTTTCTTTATTAATACAAAATATGTATATGTGATAATTACTTTATTCTTTTTTATGCATAACATCAAAGAATTTTATTCAAAATATTTAAAAAAGTAAATAATCAATTATTTTGTATAGGATGAATGGATTCAGTTGGAAAAGAAAGCAAAAGAAAAAAATATATAAGAATTTTTAATCAGTTACACAAGACCAACTCCAACAGGAAAGATTTAATCTACCTGTAAGGAAACAAATAAGATAATATAAAGCATGATTGGTTCTTCTTGCTTGCACAATAACTTACTGTTGTTGTTATTGCATTATAATAATCAGTGCACCATATTGAGGACCTCCATATGGCTGAACACCCGGATATGATTGAGGACTTTCAGTATTTGGACGTTCATGATAAGGTGGTGGTGCTTGAATAGTCATTTTCAGCGGAAAATCTTCTTGATAGAATCTATATATATAATGTTCAGTGTCTGTCGGTTTGTCTGTCTGTCGATCTGTCTGTCTGTCTGTGCCGGGTCAAAGGTTAAAGGTCAAATAAGGCTATAAGAGGAAGGCGCCAAGGGCTACTATATTGGGTTACCAATAGGTGCTCAAGGGGTATCCTATGAAGGTACCCATAGGTCCTCAAGGGCTGTCATATGGGGGTGCCCATAGGTCCTTAAGGGCTATTATATGGAGGTACGCATAGGCCCTGAAGGAAGTAAGACAGTAAGGGGTAGGTAATAAGGGGTAAGGCAATCAGGAGATAAGGCTACAAGAACTA